CTCTAGGAACAATTTTTCTCAAAATTCTAAGATAATTTCAAAATACAGTTGAACAGTTTGTATGAATCTCATAAGCATAATGTTGAGAAAAGAGGCCAAATGCCAGAGTACATACTGGCTGGAGTTAATTTATATAAATGGAACTACCCTTTAGAGGCGCCTGGATGGCTTAGTCCAGTCGCTTAAGGGTGTCTTGATTTCAGCTTAGATCATGATCTCAGGGTCGGGAGATGGAGCCTTGGAGGGGGCTCCACGCTCAGCCGGGAGTCAGCTTGAGATCCTCTCTCCCCCTCTCCCTCTGCCTGTCTCCCCACTTGTGCGTGCATTCTCTCTCTAATAAATAAATCTTAAAAAAACAAAAAACTCCCTTTTGCTGTTAGAAGTCAGGAGAGTGACCTGCCTTGGAGGAGGGGGTGTGAGTGGGAGGGGGCCAATACGGAGCTGGTGGAATAGGGCTCGTCATGTTGTCTTTCTGGATCTGGGTGCTGGTGAGGTGGGTGTGGTCCTTTTGAGAAAATTCATTACGCAGCAAACTTGTTCATTTTTCAGGACCTATGTTGTACTTCAATAAAATGTTTATAAAGAGAAAGGGAAAAGGACAAAGAAGGGACGATGGACTCTGAAAAACAAACTGAGGGTTCTAGAGGGGAGGGGGTAGGAGGATGGGTTAGCCTGGTGATGGGTATTAAAGAGGGCACGTTCTGCATGGAGCACTGGGTGTTATGCACACACAATGAATCATGGAACACTACATCAAAAACTAATGATGTAATGTATGGTGATTAACATAACAATAAAAATTTAAAAAAAAAAACGATTTCAAGTATATGTGGTTAAGAAGGAAAATTTTTCCCACTGACCTTCTCATTTTACCTCTGAAAGTAGTCACACTCAAGAGTTTAGTGTGTGTCCATGGGAGAGCCTTTTAACTTTGAAAGGGGTCCTCTTGCTGGGAAACATTGAGAGCATTTTGGTGAAGCCACCCTCACTGCCCTCAAGCTGCTTCACTCACTCACGCACTGGACAAAGAAACAAAACAGCACCTCCTCCTTTGATAAGAGCCTAGACAGGGCAGCACCTTGCAGATGTGGTTCCCATGTCCCTAGAGCCCAGTTCAAGACTTGGCATGTGTGTCTCATTTGCTTCTCACAATAGCCTTGTGAGTCCTTTTTTTTTTACCAATAAGAACATTGAAGATCACACCATTAGTATGTGACAGAGGCAGGGCTTGAAAATTTAGCTAAAGAGGGTAAGGAAAGATGAGTAAATATGGGAGGGATAGGCAGACAGATAAGGGCAGCCTCTTTAGTCCCTCGGTTGCAGGTGCAAGGGCTGGGGGCTGGAGTACACACCCTGCCCAGGCTGTCCACGCTCTTTTGGTGGGATGCAGCTGGGATCTGGAGACCTCAGCCTTGTGGGTCTCATGATCTTGAGCAAGTCATTCTCCATCAGTTGACTTTCCTGACCTGTAATTAAAGGAGGGGACTTCCCATCTCAGACAGCCCCTCATGCTCTGATGATCTAAGAGGACAAGGACCAGGTGCCATGGTTATGACAAACCAAGAGTAAATGCTGTGCTCTAGAAGATGAAACCCTGGTTGGCAAAGGAGTCGGGATTGCTTCTCTAGGGAGAAAGAAGCAAGATGCATCAACAGCCAGAGGTGCTGCCTGCCCATTTGACATACATCACATGTGAAATTCAGTCCTTCCAAAGGTCAGGAGGGTATTGTTTCCCCTTCCAGAGACCAGAGGTTGAACCCTAGCAGGATCACCTGATGGTTAAGATGTGGACTCAGGCGTTTGAATTCCTGCATCACCTCATACTAGCTGTGAGACACTAGGTCACAAGAAGGCATTTACCCTGTCTCCTAAGCCTCAGATTTTAAGTTATAAAAGGGGATAAGAATAGGACCCACTTGCATGCCTGGGCAGCTCAGTCAGTTAAGCATCTGCCTTCGGCTCAGGTCATGATCTGAGAATCCTGGGATCGAGCCCCACATTGGGCTCCCTGCTCAGTGGGGAGTCTCCTTCTTCCTCTCCCTCTCCCTTTGTGCTCGCTCTCTTGCTTTCTCTCAGGTAAATAAATAAAATCTTTTGTTTTGTTTTGTTTTAAAGATTTTATTTATTTATTTGACAGAGAGATACACAGCGAGAGAGGGAACACAAGCAGGGGGAGTGGAGGAGGGAGAAGCAGGCTTCCTGAGGAGCAGGGAGCCTGATGCGGGGCTCGATCCCAGGACCCTGGGACCATGACATGAGCGGAAGGCAGACGCTTAACCATCTGAGCCACCCAAGCGCCCCTAAATAAATAAAATCTTAAAAAAAAAAAAAAAGAATAGGACCCACTTCAGAGGCTGTTGTAAGGATTAACTGAACTGATGATAGTGACAAACTTCACCTGGAACATTCATTCTCAATGACGCACCCAAGGGAATAAAAAATGGTTGTTGGGGAGGGAAAGAAACTTAACTCTATGTATAAGGCACAGATATAGATAGAGTACACAAAGATGTAGTATAACTGCAGTATTAAAATGTCAGGGGGTGACCACACAAAAACATGAGGAACCCTCATACATCACTGGTAAGAATGTCAGATGATGCAGCCCCTGTGGAAAATATTTTGGTGGTTCCTCAGTAAGTCAAACATAGAGTCATCACAGGATCCAGCAACTGCATCCTAGGTATATCCCCAAGAAAACTGAAGACGGGTGTTGAAACAAAAACTTATAAACAAATGTTTATTGTAGCATTAATCACAATAGCGGAAAGATGGAAACAACTCATATGTCCATCAACTGATGAATGAATAGGACATAATGTGATCTAGCCATACAATGGGATGTTATTCAGCCATAAAAAGGAATGAAGTCCTGATTCATGCTACAACATGGATGAACCTGGAAAACATTATGCTGAATGAAGGCAGTCAGACACAAAAGGTCACATGTTAAATAATTCCCCATTTCTATGAAATGTCCAGAATGGGCAAATCCATAGAAATTGAAGGTAGATTTGTGGTTGCCAGGGGCTGGGCAGTTTGAGGAGGCAGGGGTGGGAGTGGAGAGTGACTACTAATGGGGATGGGTTTCTTTTGGGGGGAATGAAAATGTTTCAGAATCAGACTGTGGTGGTTGAGCAACCTTGTGAATCTACTTTAAAAAACATTGCTGAATTGTACACTTTAAAAGGGCGAATTTTATGATATGTGAATTATATCTCAATAAAGCTGTCATTTTTTTTTTTTAAGATTTTATTTATTTAACAGAGAGAGAGAGACACAGTGAGAGAGGGAACACAAGCAGGGGGAGTGGGAGAGGGAGAAGCAGGCTTCCCACCGAGCAGGGAGCCCGATGCAGGGCTCGATCCCAGGACCCTGGGACCATGACCTGAGCCGAAGGCAGACGCCCAACGGCTGAGCCACCCAGGCACCCCAAAGCTGTCATTTTTAAATGTTCAGGAAAAAAATGTATAAAAAGGCTGATGGTGGGGGAGGGAGGGACAAGAATGAAATTAAATGGTTGACCTACAGCGTGCCCACAAGGAGTCAAGATGCATATTTTAGTGGCAGTATTTTTATAATTTTTTTTACAGATCTGTAATCTGTTAACTGAAGCCCTTGGGGCCAGATGTTTCTGCATTCAGAACTTTAGATTTTAGAAAGGCAATGTGGTGCATGTACATGTAACCATCCAGCAAGGTTCAGGACAGCACCCAGTAAACCAACATTAAAATTTCTGCAGGGGGTGTACCTGGGTGGCTCAGGTGGTGGAACATTCAACTCTTGGTTTTGGCTCAGGTCATGATCTCGGGGTCATGGGATCGAGCCCCATGTGGGGCTCCCCACTCAGTGGGGAGTCTGCTTCCCTCTCTCTCTCTTCCCTCCTCCTCCTCTCCCTCTCCCTTTGCCCCCCCGCCGCTTGAGCTCTCTCTCTAAAATAAATGCATAAATGTTTAAAAAAAAATTTTCTGCAGAGAAAAAGATATGCTTTCACACTGAATGAGCCAAAGAAGGGCTCTAAGTCTTCACTGTCCAATACAGCAGCCGCATGTGATTGTCGGGCTCTTGAAATAAGGCTAGCCTGTGTTGGAATGTGCCTCAAGTGTAAAATGCCAGATTTCAAAGACTTCATTTGAGAAAACTGATATTTAAAAAAAATGTTACAGGGGCGCCTGGGTGGCTCAGTCGGTTAAGCGACTGCCTTCAGCTCGGGTCATGATCCTGGAGTCCTGGGATCGAGTCCCACATGGGGCTCCCTGCTTGGCGGGGAGTCTGCTTCTCCCTCTGATCCTCCCCCTTCCTATGCTCTCTCTCTCTCTCTCTCTCTCAAATAAATAAAAAATCTTAAAAATATACAAAATTTAAAAATGTTACAAAGTTACTCATTTGATATTGATTACAAGTTGCAATGATGTTTTGGATCCACTGGTTCAACTAAAATAGATCATTAAAATTCATTTCACCTGGGGCACTGGGTGGCTCAGTCAGTGAAGTGTCTGACTCTTGATTTCAGCTCAGGTCTTGACCTTAGGGTTGTGAGTTTGGGCCCCCTGTTGGGCTCCACGCTGGGGCTACTAGAAAATATTTAAGTGCCCACGTGGCTTGCCTTTGCAGCTCATATTCTGTTTCTACTGGGCAGGAGATGCCCTAAGGAATCTTCTGTCAGTTCTGGTAGATGTGCCTTCAAACAAGCTTATCCCAAACGTATTTTTAAAAAAAAAACAAAAAGCAAAAACCTTTAAGTTTCCGTGCTTTAGATTTCTGGAGTATAACTGCAATTGGTAGATCCAAGATGTAGCCCACGGGCCTGGAGAATCAGGAATGAAGAGGAAAGGGTGGGACCTTGCAGCCAGCTGGCTCCACTCCAGGGCTGGCCTGACCGCTGCTCACCCCCCCACCCACCCCCCGCAGGCAGACCCCTCCAGCGGCCCTTCCCATGGCCCTCTGCCCAGGCCACCCCAAGCTGCTGGGTCAGCCCCGCCCGCCAATTGTCTCCAGCTCTGCAGGGGAGGGACAAGGAGGAAGGGACAGGAGGAGGGTATGTGGGGGTGAGCTGCCCGAGGCTGAACCACTCGACCAGCCTCAGGCAGCGGGCCAGCCATGTCCAGCCCAGGGCTCACGCTCCTGCTCTTGCTGATGGCAACACCACCACCTCTGCAGCCCTCCTCACTGGCACCACCGGACACCCCAGAGGGCAAGGCCGCCATCGTGGGCCTTATCCTCTCAGCGCTGGAGAGAGCCACCTCCTTCCTGAAGAAGAGGCTGCCTGAAATCAACCTAGACGGCGTGGTGGGGTTCCGGGTGCTGGAAGGTGGGTGCACTCTCGTTCTCCTGGACTGGCCACCAGAAAACCAGTTCTCAGCCAGTCACCTCCTTGCTCTGCTGGAAGGCTTGCTCCTTTTGGGTGTTTTGGGGCCCTGCTATACTCAATTATTTTAGAAGCAAAAAGGATTCAGAAACCACATGGGAAAAGATTTGGAAATTATTATTTTCCTGGGAGGAAATGATTCGTTTGACAGTGCTAATCCTGATATGTCATGAACAAGATGGGCAGAGGGTGTGTGCCCTTTCAAGGGGCATTTATGGGAGGGTGGCTGTGGACAAAACCAGGAACCCTCAAGATCAGGCTCCAACTCCATTCCCCCACTTCCAGCCAAAGCCACCTGAAGGCTCCAAGAAAAGAGCCAAGTGTTTGTTCAGCTTTCAGGGATATAAGATCCTCTAGAAGACCTGGCAATAGGCCAAGGCAAACAGGGAACCACCCAACACACACTTCAGGTTGCAGGAAGCTCCTGTCTGAAGGCCACCTTGACCTAAGCGACAAAGAGCTGACTTGGTATCAGCCTGGGGCTCTGGCTGGCCCCCCTTTCACATCACCCCCTCTGGGTGGCCAGTGCAGCTTGCCACCCCCACCCACCTGGACTCCAGGTCCCAGCAGGAGGAGGGGCTCTGAGACAGGTCTGCTTCTGTGCCTGGCCTCCCGGTGTCCTCCCCACATCCCTGAGCCTCCAGGCGGCATCCTGGAGACCCCCAAGATCCAAGATCTCTCAGGCTAGGACCAGGGTCTCCTTTTATCCCAGCCCTGTCCTATAATGCCTCTAGAAATGAATAATAGTAATAAACCACAGGCCTGGCTTCCCTATTAGGCACAGGATATTTACAGAGGCCCATGAAAATGTTTTGATTTTTCTTTTTTCTTTTTTTTTTTTATTTGAGAGAGAGCGTGTGTGTGTGAGAGAGAGAGAGAGAGCATGAGCAGGGGAGAGGGGCAGAGGGAGAGGGAGAAGCAGATTCCCCACTCAGCAGGGAGCCTGATGTGGGGCTCAATCCCAGGACCCTGAGATCATGACCTGAGCTGAAGGCAGACACTTAACCGACTGACCCACCCAGGCGCCCTGTTTTGATTTCTGTTAAAGTCAGAAGGAATAAAAATGAACTTTTAAATCAAGGAGAATATTCAAATATATAATATCAACATATCCATCTTTATCCTAATATAGTCGTAAGACTGTAAGACTTTAATCTATTTTTTTCTTAAAGGAAGGGGCCCACAAAGCCTGGCATGTGGCCTGGCAAATGTGCCTTTGGATGTTACCTGGGTACTGACTGCGTGTAATCTCCAAACAGCCTAGAGAGGGAAGTGCTCTGTTTTGCTCTCTCTGCAGGTGGGGACTCTGAGGCACAGAGAGGTTCAGTAACCTCCCTACGCCTCACAGCTGATAGGCAGGGGGTCTAGTACTCAAATCCACCTGCTCTAACAGCCCTTGATGGTAGGGTGGGCATTGTATTGACTTTTCTGACCACCCTAGATGCCAGGCACAGCACCGGGCTCCATCCAAGCAGCAGTTGAATAAACATTCCTGGAACAAGGCAACAGGCTTTTGTCAATAGCCATCCCATGGGCCTGTTGTTTCCTTATGGAGAGAGAAGGGAAGGGCAGGTGGTTCCCTTGGCCATGTGCTTTGTGGGGTCCATGAGATAATAAAAGATAAGGTTCACTAAGTACCCACTACACACTGGCACAATGTAAACGCTCGTGTGGGGTATTTCACTGACTTCTCCCCACAATCCTTGAAGTAAGTTCATTATGGTTGTCCCCTTTTTACCAAGGAGGGGACAGGCTTTAGAGAATGTCCAAGGTCACACAGCAAGCAAGTGTAGGCAGTGGGCTTAGAACCCTGCTTTGTCTGACTCAGCGCCCATTGTCTGAATCACTACAGGGTCAAGGTGGCTGGGAAGGAGGGAAGCGACGGCCCAAGCCGACACCACACAACAGCCTTAGACCAGGGCCACCCCCTCCTCTCCTCTCCACAGCTCTGCCCTATCCCTTTGCAATAACCTACTGAGGCATAACAAATTCTCCCTGAATTTAGCTGCATAAAACAACAAAATAGTTACCATCTCACCATTTCTGTTGGTCAGGAATCTGGGAACAGTTGGTCTAGGTGGTTCTGGCTCAGGGTCTCACATGGGGTTGGAGTCAAGATGTTGGCCAGGGGTGTGATCATCTGAAGGCTTGACTGGGGCCGGAGGAACTGCCCCGTTCACTCCCAGGCCTGGCAAGTTAGTGCTGGCAGGTTCCTGGAGGCCTCAGCTACTCACCATGTGACCTTGCCGTACGGCTACTTGTGTGTGCCCTCACAACATGGCCTCCGGCTTCCCCCAGAGCAAGTGACCTCAGAGAGAGCAAGGTAGAAGGCTCAACGTCTTTTACAACCAAGCTTTGGAGGTCACACACCATCATTTCCCCAATTTGTTATTGGTTTCGAGGGTCAGCCCCATACTGTGCAGGAGGGGCTTGAAAGGGTGTGAAAACCAGCTGGCTGCCACAGCACTCACATGAGGGTCCTATCTTCATTCTCAGCCTCCCGGGACAGAGAGAAGAGCTTCACGTTCTGGGGGGTCCAGTAGCAACAAGATACTTGTTGATCTCCCGGGCGCCTGAGTGGCTCAGTCGGTTAAGCGTCTGCCTTCGGCTCAGGTCATGATCCCAGGGTCCTGGGATCGAGTCCCGCATCAGGCTCCTTGCTCCGCGGGAAGCCTGCTTCTCCCTCTCCCACTCCCCCTGCTTGTGTTCCCTCTCTGACTGTGTCTCTCTCTGTCAAAAAAATAAATAAATAAAATCTTTAAAAAAAAAAAAAAAAAGATACTTGTTGATCTCCCAAATCCTTTCTGCTTGGGGCTAGGCAAGTGGACGTTGACCCTAAGAGAGAAAAGGGTCCCTCCAGCTGCCCCTGCCAGCCAGGAGGGTGATCCAGAAGGTGGCAGCAGCAGCCGCACAGGCAGGGACAAATATACCACCATGAGGCCAGATTGGGTGAACCTCACTGCTGACTTGGCTACCCCTTCTGGGTGCCAGCACAATACCCTCCACCTGAGCCAGGCAGTCTGGAACAAGTCTTCGGAAGCAGACGGCCTAGGTTCAAGTGCAGGGAGAGAACCAAGACTGGAGAAGAGTGTTATGGAGCCCATCACCCCACAAGACTTGCTTAGCACCCTCTTAAACCTCATCCGCCCTCCCCATCAAAGTTCTCTACCTGAACTCAGGCCATCTCTCGCCCTCTTGGCCCTGTGCTGAGGCTTTCCCTCACATCCCCTCTCTCGACCACCTCTTATCTCCCCACCATCACCATTTTCTCCCACCCCTGCAGAACCACTGCTACTCCAAAAGGCACCTCTGTGAAAATTAGAAAAAGATGTCTCCTTCCTCAAGTCACTTGCCTGCCATCTGCTGGAAAATTGTCTTAATACATATACAAACCCATGATAGGAATATACGCTGCCCTTGTGCAGTATACAACCTGCTCAACTGTACACAGCAGCTCTTCACCCAGCATCTGAATCCCTTCCTCATTCCTGTACAGCAAACCTTAGATCTCCCTAATTAATACTTATAGCTAAACTTTATTAAGTGCTTACTTTGCACTGTGGACAATGCTAAGCCCTCTCTATGCATTAGTTCATTTAATCCTTACAACCCCCCACTCTAAGAAGTAAGGATCATCATTACCCCCATTTTATAGATGAAGCAAGTAAAATGGAAAGAAATTAAATATCTTTCTCTGGTCACCCAACAAGAAAATATTAGAGTCACGATCTGAACTCAGGCCCACCTCCAGAAATCAAACTCTTAGCTGCCAACTTCCAGCACACTAGCCCCACCCCCATCACCCAGCTGAGGCCCACAAGGCCTAATTTCCAGTAAGTTCAGCCAATTCTTTCCTCTCAGGAACTGGAGGAGGCAGAGACGCTCACTAAGCATTATAAGTTAGGATAATCTTTCCTGCCCAAATGGTTTGTCAATTGATGGAATGAATGAAGTCTTTTCTTTTCCAGTACAGCTAAAAGGTGTTCAGGAAAAGTGGGCCTGGGACCCCCAGCTGCAGTGGCCGAGCCTGCGTGTGGGGAAGCTGGTGGAAAAGCTAGTGCCTCTCCTTCACAGATCCATCTTCTACCTCAAGCTGAGTGACCCCAAGTACCTAAGAGGTAATAGCAGGGGGCAGAGTCCCATTACTTCAGGAACACAGCATCTGGGGGCACTCCTCCCGGTGAATGGTGGGGCAGAGTGGGGGGTGGCTGGGAGTAGGGAATGTGCCTCCCCTTGTTCAGCTCACCCCAGGCTTGGGAGCCTTCATCCTAGACCAGAGGGGAGGGTCTGGTCTGTCCCAGAGAGTGGGATATCTCAAAAGTAATTCAGCCCTTTGTGCACTAAATATAGTATCCTGCTAGTATCTCTCTGATCCACCCTATAAGCCTGGCGTGAATCATTCCTGGGGGTGATAGAAGCGGGCAACTTATAAAACCAGCCCCTCATGCTTGTCCAGCCTCCTAGACTCCCAGCTTCCAGTCAGGTGTGTGTGAGTGAATGGGGAGATGATTAGCCAGCACACCCTTCCTTCTCAGCAATGGCCAGGCTGCACATGACCACACGCCAGCCCTCTCTATGTAGCTCTGATCTCCACGTGCCCCATTCTCTCCCAGGCCTGGCCCTTAAGACCATCCCAACCTGTGTCACCCTAAAAGAAGTCCCTTGGCATCTGTTTTTGTTTTAAGATTTTATTTATTTATTTGAGAGAGAGAGAGCATGAGCTGTGGGGAGGGGCAGAGGGAGAGGGAGAAGCAGACTCCCTGCCTAGCAGGGAGCCAGATTCCGGGCTCGATCCCAGGACCTTGGGATCATGACCTGAGCCAAAGGCAGAAGCTTAACCGACTGAGCCACCCAGGCACCCCAATTCCTACTGATTAAAAAAAAAATTTTTTTAGAAGAGGAGCTTCCTGAGTGTTTCAAACATAATGTGCAACCAGCAGGCAAGGCTCAGAGTCCTGAGCAGGCTTGTGTGTGGTCAGGGCTACCTGGGCAGGGACACCCAATTCCTGGGCTTGGGCTGCAAGAGCCTGGGTACAGTTAGGCAAGGCATGGCCCACTGCTCCTGGGTGTTTTCCCCTCACCCCACCTCTCTACCAGAGTTCCAGCCAATCATCCAGCCTGGGTTTTGGAAGCTTCCACATGCCTGGACCAGCACAGATGCTTCCATGGTCTACCCCACGTTTGAACCATGGGACTCCTTCTCAGAGGAACGCAGTGATTCGTGTCTGGTGCAGCTGCTGGGAACAGGGTGGGCCCCCTGCACTTGCCCCGCTTCCCAAAAGCCCAAAACCACTTGCTCCCTGCTTGTCCTCCTGTCCCACTTGCTCTCCAAGTCCCTGTGCGAAACCAGGCATAGCCACCACCCCACTAGCCACCCAGACACCAACCTCTCCCACCCTCATTGCACCTAAGCTGCCCCCCCACTCCTTGCACTTCCCCCCCACACACCCCATTGGTCTCTCACACCAAAGGGATCCTTTCAAAAAACATATCTGAACATCCCGCCCCCAGTGTGAAGCTTCCTGTTGTTCTCAGAACAAAGCCCCAGCTCCTGCTGCCCTTCCAGGTCTCCAGGCCCCTCTAAACCAGCCCCTGGGGCTCTTGTCAGACTCCCAAAAGGACCTACTCTGTCCCACTTCTAAACCTTTACTGTGCCCGGCTGGCATTTGTGGGCCTCCTCCCACCCTGCCCCACCCCACCCCCCTGCCTAAGTAACCCTGCTTACACTTCAGGGCCACCTCCAGCATCCTTCCTCCAGAACCTTCCCTGACCCCACTGCACAAGGCTGACCTCCCCGAGTAGGCGGGTTCTCCTAGCACCACTGGTAGCCATAGATACAATTTACATTTGTCTAGGGTTTTGCCTCCCTCCCTGGGCTGTAGGTCTCTGCAAGCAGGAGTACAGCCTAGTTAAGCTCACCATTTCATCCTGCTGTGCGGTAGGCTTGGAGCCAGCCCTGAATCAGCCCTAGGTTCAGAGAACTGCTGTATAGGGCAGTGACGGGAAAGACCGTACTTGGGAGTCCCACGGAGCAGTAGCAAGTCACAGCCCCCTGGAGCTCACCCAACCCAGGATAACTCCAGGGTCGCCTCCCCTGTGCTGGGGTGCTGATTTAGCAAATCAAGACACAGTACCCCTATGTGCTATCCAGCAACCCCTTGTGCACAGCTGGGTGCCTGGAGCCTACTGGGGTTCTAATAACTAGTGGGGGGACAGGGACCAGGGAAGACTCCATGTCCTCAGGCTTCCTTTAGGGCACCCTCCTCTGGGGCCTGAACCACTTCTTCCCCAGGACAGACAGCAGCCAGCCCTGCAGGCTCTCAGACTTCTGCAGGACCCTCATGACCAAGCCCGGCTGCTCAGGCTACTGCCTGTCCCACCAGCTGCTCTTCTTTCTCTTGGCAAGAATGGTAAGTGCCCGGCGGGGGCCAGCCTCGCACATAGAGGAGAGAGAAAGATAAAAAGGGGCTTGTGGCAGTGTGGTTTGTGTGCTACACACCAGGAAAATAAGCAGGGTCTTGGACTTGTGCTTTGGACATCAGGAGGGAGAAGTAAGAGCAGCCTGCCATCTGTCCAATATAACATTGAACCCAACTGCGGGTGAGGGGGGGGCAGGATTTGGGATTCTCATTGGACAGATCGAATTGCATGCTAAACTGGGTCGTAGGCATCGGGAAAACAAAGAGAAAGAGTAAAAGAGAAGCAGCAGAAAGAACTCAGTCAACAGTAACAAATGGAAAAGGATTTAGAACATCTGGTCCATAGCAGCTTCTAGAAACCCAAACCAAGGCAAACCAGCCCCACCCCCACCTCTGCAGCACCCAATGCTCTTCCAAGCCCAAGAGCTCAAACTTCACTAAATAATGATAATTTTTAAACATATGTATTTCCCCATATAGAAAGCTAAGGCTCATTATCTCCATTGAAAGAGGTGATTCCATGTGCAGAAATTCTTGGCTGAGAAGGTACTTAATGTTTTAGGTAGGTTTTTAGAAAAATTTTTTTATTATTTATTTGCAAGCTGTCACTATCCAGTATTTCTGTAAATACAATAAAAATCAAATTACGAGGAATATTATTAGATTCAACAGGTAGAAAGCTACTCTGACACATTGTTACAGAAATTGCCAAAGCCCCTTCTCATCTCCTGTTCTGTCCCTGAGACCGGTCCATGGCCCACACTTTGAGCAGCACTGAAGCTAGCCAGCTGGGTTAGCCTGGAATCTGAATGTGACAGCAGCTAATGGCTATAACGCTCCAGTGTCAGGCCTGTGTTGGGCACTTCCTAACTATGGTACCACCCATCCAAGTGAGCACCTCTGGTGTAGATCCCAGACACATCGCCCTTTCCCTGTGGCTAAGACCCTTGAGGCTCAGAAAGGTTAACTTAGCAAGCTAAGGTCACACAGCCCCTGAGTGGATGAGCCGGGACTCAAACCCAGCTCTTTCTGATCCCCCCCGCCCCCCACCGGGACACAGTCCCAAGCGGTCCAGGGGTGTAAATGGGGAAGAAATTCTGGGAAAAGGGGAAAGACCTGCCCCAAAGGCAGCCACCTACCAGACCATCTCAGAACTACAAGTCTTCCCCTATAGCAGAGTGCAGGTCTGTCACCCATCCTTCTGGCTGTTTGTTCCCCTCAGAAAGGATGCACAGGGGGACTGTTCTGCCAGAGCCAGCACTACATGAACCTCTTTTGTGCCAACATGATGGACCTGAACCGGAGAGCTGAGGCCATCGGATATGCCTACCCCACCCGGGACATCTTCATGGAGAACAGTGAGCCCTGGCATTCCTCTCTGGGGACAAAGCAGAGGGGTGTGCCTGCACGCGCAAACACACACACACACACACACACAGTAGGGCTGCCAGATTTAGCAAATAAAAATACAGGGTGCCCAAGTAAATTTGAACTTCAGATAAACTGAATATCTATTTTTAGTATAAGTTTATCCTGAACATTCCCTGATTTGTGCTTATGCTTTAAAATTTGCGTTTGTTTATTGGACACTCAAATTTAACTGGGCATCCTATATTTTATCTGCCATGATGTGACTGCTTCCTGCCCCGAAAGGCCGACCTAGTGATGGAGCTCTGGACTGACAGGCTAGCTCAGAGATGAGGCAGAAAAGGGGTCTCTGAGTGGCTGCTCCTTGGCTTGGGTGTCTAGATCCCTCTACTGACCCTGACTCTTGAGGGACTCCCATGAAGGCCCTAAATGGGAGGCAGGACCTAGCCTGGCAGCTGCCTTCTTCCAGCCACTACACTGAGTACCCACCCACTGGCGGGAGGAGGCAGGGGGCACTGTGCAGCCTTGGGCAGTGGGAGCAGGTGGGTCTGGGGGACAGGCCTGTAGAGGGTCTTTTGCTTCCAGTCATGTTCTGTGGAATCAGTGGCTTCTTGGATTTCTACAAGCTCCGGTGGCTGGAGGCCATTCTCAACTGGCAGAAGCCGCAGGAAGGATGCTTCGGGAGGCCTGGTGAGCTGCACTTCCACCCTGGCTGGGAGCGGGACGCTGGTAGGGGGCTGGGTTTCTAGGCCGAGTGAAGAAAGGTGATACAGTGGTCTTAGTGGCTCAGAGAGAGATTCGCAACATGTATATGCATGCAAACACACATGTGAACACACACATATGGAAATGGGCTTGGACCTTTGGAAGCCAAAATTTTGCAGGGTGGGAGACAGTCTCGTTGGAAGATGTTGGCCCCCTGCACCTGCATGAACAAATCTATTGCTTTAGTGAGTATCCCCTGAGCACCTGCTCTGTACCAGACACTGTTCTAGGCTCCAGGGAATACTAGGGCCCTGAAGAAGAGAGGCAGAAACCATCTAAATTAACCAATAAGTGAGATAATTGCAAGTTCTGATAAGGGCTGTGAAGGAGACAACAGGCTGAGAAAGAAAAGAATATGGAAGAAGGTTCTTTCGGCAGGAGTATTCAGGGGAGACGTCTGGAGCAGGTGACATAGAAGCAGAGGCAGAGAGGACACAGCCCCTTTCCAGCTGTGTGACAATGGGCAGCTGGTCCTCTTTGCAGTAAGTCACTTCACCTTGCTAAGCCTTGATTTCCTCATCTGTAAATAAATTAGTATAATAATCTCCTTCCTGAGCTGTGAAGAGTAGACATAATATATGGGAAAGTACCTGTCCTGTGCTTTCACAGGACAGAGGCGGCCCCCAATAAATGCTGAAGCTTGGGATGCTCAAGGAGGCAAAGCTTTTGAAATAAGAGCGTCTGTTCTCAAAATTGAGGAGTCGATAAAAATGCAGATTCTCAGGCCCCCAGACCTACAGATTCAGCAGGTAGAAGGTGGGCCTGTGGAACTTGCATTTTTAAGAAGCTCCTCCTGCTGTTCTGATGTGGGTGGTTGGGGGACTACAACTGGAGAAACATCAGTAGATGACAAATTTAGGCAGTGTGTAAGGATCTGCAGACAGGCACTCAAGGAACCTTCTGGAAGGACCTCCAGATTCAAGAGAAGACCTGAGTTGCTTGAGGTGTTGTGAGGGGGAGGAGGTTTGGTGAGTAATGTGTGAAAACCCATCTCAAGAAGGTCACTTTCCTACTCTTCTCCCAGATGCTGAAGATGAATTATCAAAAGCCATTCAACGCCAACAGCATGTTTTGAGGAGAGTGAAGAGGCGAGAAAAACAATTTACAGGTAATGAAAATACCCGGGAGCCTTCTGGGCATGAAACCAAGACACCCCAGAAAGGCTGCACACAGACTGATGTCAGTGGAGATGTGCCTTGCCATCCCTTCAGGGCCGGGTCTGGGAAGTGGAGGGCAGGGTAAGAAGTGGGAGTCCAGAGATCTTGTCTCCAGAGAAAGAAACATAAAAGAAGTTGCAGCGTGTTACTGAAAATCACAGAGATCACCCCCTCTCCGTCAAGGTCAAGTCAGAAAACCAGAACCTGCACCAGGAACTTGAGGCAGAGGGAATTTAATGTAGGGAACTCTTCTCAGAGGTGTTCCAAGAGGTGAACCCAGAAAAGTGAGAAAACCCAGAGATTAACCACTGCAAGAAGCCACTACTCTCCCCGGAGGCAGAGCTGGAGGGACTGTGGAGCAAGGTGGGGTTAGCAGAGCCTGCAGGGGTTGGACATGGAGGAGGCAAAGACGGACAGAAATACCCCGTCTTCTGCCCTCTTTCAGCCTGTGTCTGCTATTGCTCAAACCTAACCAGAAGCTGATGAGCAAGGCATCCTGGGAAATGTAGTTTGGAAGGGTCAGTGCACTGTGGTTTGGAGCGAAAAAGGGCAGGAGGGAATCTGAGCCAACAGGCAAGTGACCAGTGCAGTCCCCACGGCCACGTGTCCGGATGTCCCCAGCTTACACCTCTTGTCCTGGAGCCATTATGAATAGTGCCCCCTTTCCTCCCCAAAGTGTCTTGGTTGAGATGATAACTTATGTGATCAGTCCACCAGTGTAGAGAAACTGAGAGTCAGATACAGTTATATGGAGAAGGGAAGATAGGCAACATTTAATATGGGAGGGAGGGAGGGATAAAGAAGGAAGAGAAGACCTGATTCATTTTTTTATTAATAAAAAATAAATAACTGCAAGACAGAAGCAGGAAAGGAGGTAGAATAGCCAGCCCCCTTAATAGATGCCCAGCATAGGTTGGTAAACGATCCCAGTAACTAAATGTCTCCCCATGAGCCCCACTGTAGCCTCACCATCTGCCTGCAGGTAGACAAGAGAAGGGAGTGGAAGCCCAAATCCAAAGGCTGGGCTGGGGAAGGGTGAGAAGTTCTCAGGAGACTTCCAGAGGCCCCTGACACAGGGGCCTGTGGCTACCCACGGCCACCTGGTAGGCTGCCCCCTAGAGGCAGACAGCTGGACTGTAGGACTGACCTGAGGGCTGGAGAGGGAGCTGCAGAAAGGCCCGAGGTCCTTCTCGGGCCCCTGCAGATTGACAAGTCTGGAAAACTGCCCAGGAGGGAGTGGTGCTTTCTTTCCTTCTGGTGCACACCCCCTGCACACCCATGGACCAGGGGGAAGCCTGCGTGGAGATTTGCAGCACAGGATTTGAAATCATGCTGTCAGAGTTCGAATCTGCTTCTTCCTCACGGTGGGGGTCACTCAACCTCTCTGAGCCTCAGTTTCTTTATCTGTAAGATAGGGACCTAACAGTGCCTCCTTCATAGAGCTCTTGGGGGTTAGTATCAGATCACTGTACAAAGCACGCTCCATGGTATTTGGCATAGGACAGCGTGAGCTGCTGGGGTGGGTAATTAGCCTTCTTGAAACCTGCATTCTCCCTCCCTCCAAAGGCCCTAGCTGGGGTCCTTCCCTTCTCCAAGACTGTGCGGGGAGAGAAAAGTCCTGGCTCCCTCCCACCTGCTCAGAAACACAGGATGGGTGGCCTACTTTAGGTTTAGGGAACTAAGTAACATCTAAGGTGTTATTGCCTCAGGCCGGTGTCGGGAAGGTGCTCTGGGTCACCTGGGACCAGGCAAGACTAAGGCAGCAATGAGGGAGGCTATCAAGGTCAAGAAATGAGCTGTGCAGCCCCTAGGGCTGTGGAGCTCAGCTCTGCTACCTGAGCCTCGGTTTCCCTGTCTGCAAAAACAGGCAATAGGGTGCTGTCCTAGAAGGTTTGAGAGCAAGGGGAGGTGGGAAGGAGCTAGACAAGGGTGTGGCCTCAGGTCAGATCCCAGGGGAGGGGAGCTCTGGAGTGGAAAATTGTACCTGAGTCACCCCCCTAAGATGGGAGGCTGGGCTTTTGTGTCCTGTATTAAGGCACTGGGAGGAGGCATAACCTCCCTGATGAGGAGGCTCCAACTGGCTGGGGTCATTTCTATGGAGAAGGGAGTCATTAGTGGCCAGCACTCATAGCAGCTGGTGGATGGGTGCCCGGCCCAGGATCTGGCTGGCTGGGGAAGCATCCGAAAAGCACTCATAACAGAACTGTGGCCACCACACAGTAGTCACAGGGAGGACTCTCTCTCTCCCCAGATGGCTGTTCCTCCCACAACACAGCCATGGCTGTGGCAGCCCTGGGGGGCTTCCTCTACGTCCTGGCTGAATACCCCCCAGCAAATGGAGAGCTGTGGCAGTCCACACTGGTGCTACCCACAGTCGCTGAGACAAATGTTTCCACACCTGCCACTGGAAGATGAAACGGATGCCAGATGCCAGTAGTCAATCCTTCCTCCCTTAAATCCTGGGTGCCTGGGCCATGCCCTGACAAGGAGGCAGCAGAAGAAACGACTAGCAAAGCAACCCAGCTTCATCCCGTCGGGGAGCAGGGCCAGGGAAGGGGATGTGGGGATGGATCCAGGTGTGGAAGCAGATGAATAAATTCAGAGTGCAATTGAGTCGTGTTTCTCAGCCCTGGGGACAACTTCTAGGGCTCTGTTTCAAGTCACGACACAAACTCCAAGGAGATCCGTAACTTGAGTCTTAAAGGCAATTTGTTCAGATGTCAACGGTTCCATCTTTCCCAGTGGGAGAAATAAGGGTCTCTGAATTTAACAGTTCGAGTCATGACTAAACTTGAGATATGGTCACAAACGGCAGCACATAAAATGTTTATATCCACGCAAGGAACTCTACAGTACCATGTCGCGTCCTGTCATGGCCGTGTCATTTTACAAAAGGCAGGGTGGCATCATGGTTAATGGTGCAGCTCTGTGCCCAGGCTCCCTGAGTCCAAATCCCAGCTGTCCCGCTAATTAGCTCTGTGTCCTCGGGCAAGGTCATTTAGCGTCTCTGTGACTGTTTCCTCGTCAGTACAATTGGGATAATTACAGCACCTGCCTCAGGATTACTTGCAGTGCTGTGACCATCACCTTTGTAGGGTACTGAGAACCATTCCTATAACATGGTAAGAGCCAGGTGAGTGTTACCTGCTGCCACAGCAGGGAGGATGTCACATTACCTGGAGGGCTTGTCCCTGAGGCAGTGGGCATGGAGAGCTGACTGGCCAACTTTTCTCTTATTCCCAGCTTATACTTCTTCCCTCATGTTCTGCTTCAGTGTGAGTAAATCTGAACATGTCAGCTAGAGTTCTTTTAATTAATTTATCTGGTTTACTGAAGTACAGCTGACATACAATCCCCTGGAACTCTGACACTAATCTAGTGTTGGAGGAAAGACCTTCTGGAACGTTATCACGGGTCCAGGTACTGTCTGTGATGCAGATTTCAGGCTAGGACAGACACATGTCAAAAGGAGACTGGGGTAGAAAAATCAGCTAAAAACCCAGTCCTTTGGACTGGAAGGTTCTTTAAGTCCATCATCTTGCTTTGCTTCGAAGTGAAAAATAATTGCTCATCATCCCTATGTGACAACTGCATTGTATTTGAGAATCTGAATTCAAACACCCGTGCTCCTTCTGTGCTCAGCTAAATAATCTGGTGGGGGCAGTGGTTCTTCTAAATCTTTCTCTTGGGAGTTAGTCTCTTCTGTCTAATCCTCTTTGCTGGTGCCCCTGAATGCTTTCCTGCAAGTGCTCTTAAGTTGTCAGGCACACAGAAATGGTCCTGGATTTCGCTGACAAGTTTGACTTGCTTTTGAGTTGCTAGTTTTCTTGAGGAACCAAGGGCCAGAATTTAATACCTACTTGGCACTCCATATGCTTCAAGGATTTCTTCCACACTGCGTCACAAACCAAAGTTTACCAAGATAGGCACACAGCCTAGAGATGGGTGGGCAGCACATAACCGGTTTAAGGGGGATTATGCCTCACCCCCCTGTCCTTCCTGCATTCAGGATGGATCAGTCACTGGAGCCTGACATTGATACATTTTTAGAAGGTTTAATTTACCAAACTAGGGCGGGGGTTGGGGGGAGGCGATGACTGTAGCAGAAATCTGGGTTTATAAGCCACTTTCAGGAAAAGGGAATCCTAATGCAAACTGGGACATGGGAAGAAAAATTTGCAAGATGAACCCCACTTGAATTGTCATGTCTTTGGGTTACAACTGCGATAGGGCACTAAGAAGAGGTAAAAATACCAATGGATGAGTCTCTTCACCACTCCCCCACCCCAGACCTTAGCCTCTCACTGAAGATGAATCCCATGAGCATTTAACATGATGTGGAGGTGGACCTTCACTTCTTGTATTCTAAACACCCAGCACTGGCTCACTTCCTAGAGGAGTTTCTCAATGTGTGGTCTGTGGCCACTGGCATTAGGACCAGCTTGAGGAATCTTGTTAAACATGCAGATTCTGAGCCTGGGTGGCTCAGTCAGTTAAGTGTCTGCCTTCGGCTCAGGTCATGATCCCAGAGTTCCAGGATCCGGATAGTGTCCTACATTAAGCTCCCTGCTCAGCGGGGAGTCCACTTCTCCCTCTGACCCTCCCCCCTCTCATGCTTTCTCTCTCTCAAATAAATAAATAAAATCTTTAAAAAACAAACAAACAAACATGCAGATTCTCTAGCCCTGCCCCTAGAGATTCTCATTCAGACCCCAGGAGGGGGCCTGGGGACATGCCTCCTTGGCAAGCTCCCAAGGGATGCTGATGCTCGCCAAGGCTGAAAACTGTGGGGTCCTCAAGGCCTGGACCTGTATGACATCAGGTGGTAGATAAAGGGAACATCTACAGTTGACACCGGGCAGTGGCCTCGATTGTGCATTCAGAGGTGTAAGTAATGTCCCTCCTCTACCCTGCAAGATTCTTTTGGCTGGTCTAGAAATTAAGTTGACATAAGACAAATTAAAGGAGAAAAACAAACAAAAAAGTTTAATAATGTGCATACTGCCTGTCTACATGAGAGGCCCAGGAAAACTGAGTAACTCCCTGCAGTGGCCTAAGCCATCACCCTAAATACCATCTCCAGCTAAAGACGAGAGAAGATGTTGGGGGTGGGAGGTCAGTTATGGGAGGTTGCTGGGGAAAGCACGGTAAACAAGAGTAGATTTAAGTCCATGCTGTCTCTATTGATAACAGTTTCTAGAGATTTAGAGTCAGCCATCTCCCTCTTTCTGGTAATGAGACGAAAACACACTTACAAAAGGGTAAATTCTGTTTTCAGAGCTTCCCTTGTGTCTGCAGTTTCTTAAAAATAACCAGCTTAAGATAATCAGTATGCCAAAGACTCATATCTTGGGGTGGCAAAATTTGCTCCCCTACACCCTCCTTGGTGCTCACACTCACCCCACTGTGACTTTAGGTGCTCCAGCAATGTTCCTGTCAAAAGTGTTCCCGATAGGCCCCTCGCTCAAGATAAAAATGTCCCCTGTAAAAGAGTATTTCTGTTAAATAAATCATTGTGTTTTTAAAAGTACTTCCCTTTAAGATGTAAATACGTACAGGAAAAGTTGTGAGCTCAAACTTCAGAACAAGCTGCCTCCTCTACTAACATCTGTGTGACCCTGGGTCAGTAGCTTGCCCTCTCTGTACCTCCAACTTTTCTGTATAATGGGTAACACAATAACATCCAACATCTAGGATTCCTGAGATAAAATGGTGCAGGGTAAGCCCTGCACACAGTGTCTGAGGCTTAAATGAACTCAGTGGCTATTAGGAGTGAGTTTTCTCAGAAAAGCCAGCATCCACACCACCTCGGCCTCTGGGGTTTTATCAGTCACCTATTATTTATGAGCAAAGGATGTCATTCCCTGGCAAATCCTCCATCCATCCCTTCAATAAATAGTGACTGAGGACTTACTGTGTGCTAAGCTGTGCTCTGGGCATGGGAGATGCAGCTGAGAACAAACAAGGGCCCTGTTCCCATCATTTAAGAAATATCCATGCAGTGCCTACTGTGTGCCGAGGACTATGCAAAGTATCAGGGGAAAGTAGTGAAAAGCAGACATGGTCTCTGTCCTCAGAGATGACAGTCAAGGCGGGAGAGACATAAGCAGCAGCTAAAATCAGGGGGCGCCGGACTGCCTCAGTCGGTGGAGCACAGAACTCTAGATCTTGGGGTTGTGAGTCTGAGCCCCATGTTGTGTGTGGAGATTACTTAAAAATAAAATGAAATTTAAAAAAAGAAACAGGGGCGCCTGGGTGGCTCAGTTGGTTAAGCGACTGCCTTCGGCTCAGGTCATGATCCTGGAGTCCCGGGATCGAGTCCCGCATCGGGCTCCCTGCTCAGCGGGGTCTGCTTCTCCCTCTCCCGCTCCCCCGTCTTGTGCTCTCTCTCTCTCAAATAAATAAATAAAATCTTAAAAAAAAAAAAAGAAAGAAAGAAACAGTTATAATCAAGCAGATTGCACCTGTGATGGGAAAGACTGGGTGCATGGCCTGGACATGGTATTCATTCCCTCAACCGACAAACTGACAGTGACGTCATTTTGGAATGTTCGTGAGGTCTGGAGCCGACAGCCAAGAAAGAACTCTTGAGATGTCTTTGGTGCAAAAAGGTGGTTTCATTAAAGCACAGGGACAGGACCCGTGGGCAGAAAGAGGGACTGCACCAGAGTTGTGAGGAATGGCTGATTATATACTTGGAAGTGGGGGAGGTAAGGACAAAGGGAGGTGTCCAAAAGCACTTTCATACGCTAAAGATTTACAGGACACTGGAGGCCTGACTATTCCTGAGTTAAAGTTGTTTTTCCTTCTAGTAAGGCGTTAACATGAAGATAGTTGGGGGCTTCCTGGAGAAATGCTATACTCTGCCTGCCTCAGGTCCTGGTCAATGGGCTGCAGCCATGTCCTGCAAGGCTCTGGCCCCTGAGCTCCCACAGCTACCCCTTTTCCTATCCCTCATGTCTCAGCCTAAATGGGCTTAGAGAGGCCTTCCCTGCCACTCCCCTTCTTTCTCCATCCTGCTTCTTACCACACTTGGGTTGTTTAGTGTCTGTCTCTGCAAGGGCAGGACTGGTCTGTCTGTTTCATCAGCATCTAGCACATAGGAGGAGCTCAATCTGTTCAATCTACAAATGACTGTGGAACCCAAATAAGGAAGCTGAGAGAAGACAAAGGAACCTAACGAAGGGTAAATGTGAGCAGAGGAGAAAGCACTGAGTTAGTTAGCTGGTATGGCTAGAACTGTGGGTTTGGGCTTAGAAAGATAAACCAAGGCATGTTAAAATTTTTAACTAAGAGTTTGAGCAAAAATCAATTCGAATTGGGCAGTACCAAATTGAAGTGGATATGAGCCAGGGGAAAGATCTCTACTGATAAAGTGAGAAAGTGAAGAAAGGAAATTGATTGCCTATAGCTTAATGCCTAGTTGGCTGTTAGTTAAAGCTGTTTGCAATTGGTCATCCTTAGCATTTTGATTTCATAACCTTGAGGCATTTACAGGCTTAGGTTTTGGTTTGCTTCTTTTTTTTTTTAATTATTTAAATTCAATTTAGTTAACATATACTGTATTAGTTTCAGGGGTAGAATTAGTGATTCATCATTTGCATACAACACCCAATGCTCGTTACATCAAGTGCCCTCATTAGTGCACACCTTGGTTTGCTTCTGTAGGCAGTGTTAAAGAAAGAAAAAAAAAAAAAAAAAAAGACGGGTGCCTGACCGGCTCAGTCAGAGAGCATGCAACTCTTTGATCTTAGGGTTCTGAGTTCAAGCCCCACATTGTGTGGAGAGATTAGTTTTTTTAAAAAAGTAAAAAAGAGAGACAACAGGCCCCAAATGAAGTAACATATGCCAAGCCCCATGTCAGCCAACCAAGACTTAATATCTGACTTAACTACAGTTTCAGACTCTTTCAGGAATGAAACCTTTAACCAGTCAGTTACCTAGTCAGCACTAGTGAAGTCATCTGCACCAAAGGCCCTTGTCCTTCCCTCAAAGGAAGGTGACCTTGCCTGAAACAATCCACTCTGTCTCACTCCCTTTCTGCCTATGAAAGCCTTTCATTTGGCACAGCTCTTTGGAGCTTATTTCTATTTGCTAGATGGGATGCTGCCTAATTCGCTGAATAAAGTCAATTTAATCTTTAAATTTACTCAGTTGACTTTTGTCTTTTAATAGCAGCCATGGCATAAAGCCACATCAATCTAATGGCCTCCTTGTTTAATTAATAGGCTGCTCAGCAAATGGAGAATTTCCATGGGACTTAGGCACTTAGATATTATGTGCTTGTTACGTGTTTTGTCAAAGGAGTGACAAAGTTGGGAGGAGACCGAAGGTCAGAACTCTTTATAGAGACTGCCTGTACCTACATCTCCCAATTGACGTAGAGAAAAAGAGGACTTCCGGGGACAGGGAAGCTGGTCGCAGGTCTGGGCTTGTTTGCTAAAGACTTTTTGCAGCCTGGATGTAAAGATTAGAAAGACATCATCCCTTCACATCAATATGATGAGGAAGCAAAAGGCAAGCTGAGGACAAAGCACAAGCTGAGATCCCACAACACCCTCCCCACCTCCCACCCACCTCCTCCCTGGACTCCAGGTGGGAAAAGTGTGACCTTACTCCAGAAACTCCCAACTGTTAATGTTAATGCTTTGCTACAGGGACAAACAACCTTAGCTTGACTAAGTCGCAAGGCCTCCAGTATCCTGAAAGTCTTCTTTAGCATATGAAAGTGCTTTTGGACACCTCCCTTAACCTCCCCCAACTCTCAAGTATATAATCAGCCATTCCTCACAACCCCAGGGCAGCAGCTCTTTCTGCCCTCAGGTCCTGTCCCCCTGCTTTAATAAAACCACCTTTTTGCACCAAAGATGTCTCAAGAATTCTTTCTTGGCCATCAGCTCCAGACCTCACCTACATTCAAAACTATATCAAAGGTCATAAGAGACCAAGGCTAAGAAACTGTTCCAGATTCAGGGACACCACAGAGACATGACAAGAAATGCAATTCCTGGATTGGACCCTGGATGTGGGGAAAATAGCTGTAAAGGACATTATACATGGGGCGCCTGGGTGGCTTAGTCGTTAAGCATCTGCCTTCGGCTCCGGTCGTGGTCCCAGGGTCCTGGGATCGAGCCCCGCATGGGGCTCCCTGCTCTGTGGGAAGCCTGCTTCTCCTTCTCCCACTCCCCCTGCTTGTGCTCCTTCTCTCGCTGTGTCTCTCTCTGTCAAATAAATAAATAAAATCTTTAAAAAAAAAAAAAGCTGTCTTTATAAAAAAAAAAAAGGACATTATATAGAAAATTGGCAAATTTTCTGCGGATTAGTTAATAAACTCTATCAATGTAAAACGTCTTAATTTTACTTAGCCTGTGGTTATGTAGGAAGATGTCCTTGTTCGTAAAAGATATATAAAGTACTGAGGTGAAGGATCCCGATGTCTGCAACTTGGTTGCAAATGGTTGGTGGGTGGGGTGGAGTATGCGAATGAAGTTGAAATAATAAACTAAACGGAACAAAAGTTAATTAGTAAATATAGGTAAAAGGTATATGGGAGTTCTTTACATTACTCTTAGAACCTCCAGAACCTCCGGTAAGTTTGAAATTATATCAACACGAAAATTGCCCCCACCACCAACCCACCTACACTCACCTTCTGAAGACAGTAAATTATAGGACAAGATCTCGCGATATCCAAAGGAGCCTAAGCAATTCTGTTCCGGTTGAAATCGGCCACCAAAAAACTTGAGTCACGTGGGGCGACCCCACGTGATCGGAGGCCTGGTTCCAACATGGCGGCCTCCATGGGTCGCTGGCTTCTCTTCCTCCTTGCGCTGCTTGGCTTCCTCCGGGAGGCGACCAGCGGCCTCGACTCGGGGTGAGTAAAGGTCTGGAGGGGTGAGCCTGGTTCGGGGAGTACTCCGCCCGGGACACAGCCCTCCGAGCTCACGGCCGCCCTGTCCCCGCAGGGCCTCCCGCGACGACGATTTGCTGCTGCCATACTCCCGCGCGCGCGCGCGCTCTGCCCGGGACTGCTCAAGGGTGCGCGCCGGCAGCCGCGAGCACGAGAGCTGGCCACCTACCACGGCGACCCCCGGCACCCGCGGCCCGGCGGTGCGCACCTTCGTTTCGCACTTCGCGGACCGCGCGGTGCCTGGCCATCTGACGCGTGTGGCAGAGCCCCTGCGGACCTTCTCGGTCCTGGAGCCCGGTGGGTCCGGCGGCTGCGCTTCGAGGCGCCGCGCCACCGTGGAGGATACGGCGCGGGCGGCCGGCTGCAGGGTCGCCCAGAACGGCGGCTTCTTCCGCATGGACACGGGCGAGTGCCTGGGGAACGTGGTGAGCGACGGGCGCCGGGTGAGCAGCGCCGGGGGGCTGCAGAACGCGCAGTTCGGGATCCGCCGCGACGGGACCCTGGTCACCGGGTGAGGAGGCAGGGAGCCTCGTGACTGTCGAGGGCAGAGGACCTGAGATTTGGGTTGTAGCCGTGGTGCTGGGTTCAAGTCACCTGACAAAGCTGAGCCTCCGTTTCCGTTCTGCAGAATGGGGATAGTAATACTTTCATTGCAGTTATTTCCCAGTATCACTGAGCGCTTGCTTTGTGTCAGGCAATGTGCTGCGCATTGGGGATATAGCAGTGAACAAGCAGACAGCCTTTGTCTTCACGGACCCCTCCCATTACTAGGAAAAACAAATAAAAGCCAGGGAAATGATTAAGATAAATTTAGATTGCATGCATGTAAAGAAGCAAGGAACAGGGATAACCAGTGTAAATGGAGTGTAGATTTTAGGTAGGGTGAATAGGAAAGGCCTGTCTCAGAAGGTGACCTCTGGGTTGAGACCTGATGATTAATCACAAGTTAGCCAAGGTCAGAACTGGAGGAAGAGCACTACGGTCAGAAGGAACAGCAAGTGCTAAGGCTCAGAGATGCACAGGGGTTTGGTGTGTGTGAGTGACTGAAGGAAGGAACAGAGTATCAGGGGATGACAGGACTGACTTTGGTTATTTAAAAACATGCTCTAGGGGCGCTTGGGTGGCTCAGTTGGTTAAGTGTCTGCCTTCAGGTCCGGTGGTGATCTCAGGGTCCTGGGATCGAGCCCCGAGTCAGGCTTCCTGCTCAGCAGGAGAGTCTGCTCCTCCCTCTCCCTCTGTCCCTGTTCGTGCTCTCTCTCTCGCTCTCACTCTCTTTCTCAAATAAATAAAGTCTTTAAAAAAAAATAAGAATAAAAACATGCTCTAATCCTGGCTGGAGGCTGGGTTGGAGGGACCAGAGTAGAAGCAAGGAGACCAATGACGAGTTGTCAGTAGGCATCAGGTGGTAGTTTGGCTAGAGTGATGGCCTAGGAAGTTGAAGGCCAGAGATGAACTTGAAATCTGTTGAGAATCGTTTATATTAGATGAATTATTAACTGTGATGCATAGACTGTTTACAAAGGCTGCACTCAGGACCAGGATGGTTCCTGGCACACCAGGAGGAGTCAAGCAGCCAACCTGAGGAGGGGAGGTAGGAGGGAACCCTACTACCTGCAGTTGCCCCTGCCAGTGAGTGAATCTCATGCCTTTTCTGTGTCCAGGTACCTGTCTGAAGAGGAGGTGCTGGACACTGAAAATCCATTTGTGCAGCTGCTGAGTGGGGTCGTGTGGCTCATCCGCAATGGAAGTGTGTACATCAATGAAAGCCAGGCGGCTGAGTGTGATGAGACACAGGAAACAGGTTTGAGGGCGGGGTGTGGCATAGTCTTGTTGAGAACCAGGACCTCTGGGCTGGTGGGGGAAGCTATTCTTAAGTCTTTGAGCAAGTACTATTCAAGGTACAGGGGATCGACAAATGAGGTCCCTGCTCTTGGGGAATACATAAGAAAGAAAATAGATATGTAATTTACTGAAAGGAAGTGGCAAGTGCTAAGAAAGAAAATAAAGTTGGGGGAAAATAAAGTTGGGGGGAAGAAAGGAGCTGTGAATCAGAATCCCGAATCCCTGGGGGTAAGGCCCAAACCTGTGTGTTTTAACAAATCCCTTGGGTAATTCAGTTTGAGAACCTCTGGGATGTGGAGTACTGGTGTGGGAAGGGATGCTATGGCCCTGATGTGGAAATGGCTGTTTTAGACCGAGCAGTCAAGGGAGGCCTCACTGAGGAGGTGCCCTAGATTGGAAAGAGCAAACCACAGGAAGAGCTGAGGAGAAGCACAGTCCAGCCAGAGGGAGCAGAAGGTGCAGAAGCCCTAAAGCAGAAAGTGGCTGCAGGGTGGTGAGAGAGGAGCCCCCAAGATGAGGTAGGAGAAGCAGGCCAGGGCGGCCATGTTGGGCTGATGAACCATGGAAGTCATCAGAGGGCTTTCCCCTGGAGGCTGATGTCACTTAATTTACACCTGAGAAGGGTCATCTGGCCGCTATGTGGAGACTGAGTGGGATGGGGCAGAGGGGAGGCAGGACGATACACGTCTAAGTGAGACACTGGATGGTGTGGAACGGGAGGTGGAGAGTGGCATTGGACTACCCAAAAATAACAGGCAGAGCCCAGGAGTCTTCTCAAAGGGCAGGTGATCAGCCAGGCTTCTTCTCTTTTAGGTTCCTTTAGCAAATTTGTGAACGTGATGTCAGCAAGGACAGCTGTGGGACATGACCGGAAAGGGCAGCTGGTGCTCTTCCACGTAGATGGGCAGACGGAACAGCGGGGGTGAGTGCCAGGAACTGGGAAGGCCACGCCTGGGCTGAGCCCTGCTTTGAGGAACTTCAGCCCACTGACAGCTGGCCATCGGACTCCCAGCTCTTCCCTGGGGATGTTCACGTCCATCTGTCCCCTGCCTTCCCACGCAAAACAGTCCCTAGATCTGTCTCACTTCTTTTTTTTTTTAAAGATTTTATTTATTTGACAGAGAGAGACACAGCAAGAGAGGGAGCACAAGCAGGGGGAGTGGGAGAGGGAGAAGCAGGCCTCCCACGGAGCAGGGAGCCCGATGCGGGGCTCGATCCCAGAACCCTGGGATCATGACCTGAGCCAAAGGCAGATGCTTAACAACTGAGCCACCCAGGCGCCCCAATCTGTCTCACTTCTGAGAACTCATTATCCCCTACACACTTCCTCTCAGTCTCCCCAACTTAGGCCTCCACTCTCCTGAGCCCCGGATAGGGTGATAGGAAGTAATTACAAAGTTAGCAGGGAGAAGACCTCTGTTCCAGTCCCAGCTCTGCCATCTGCTAGCTCTGTGGCCACAGACAAGTTGCTCAACCTCTCTGAGCCACAGTTTCTTCCTCTGTAAAGAGAGTGTGTTAGTTTGCTATTGCTGTGTAACAAACAAGCACAAACAGCACTCATTTGTTAGATCACAGTTCTGTAGGTCAGAAGTCTGGAGGGCTCAAATCATGGACAAAATCAAGCCGTTTGCCAGGCAGGGCTCTCATCTGGAGCTTCAGAGCAAGAATCCTCTTAGCTCATTCGGGTTGTTGGCAGGATGCAATACCTCATGGTTGTAGGACCGAAGTCTGTATTTCCTTGCTGGTTGTTGGCCAGGGGACCCTCAGCTCCTTCAGGCTGCCCACATTCCTTCCCATGCATGTTACCCTCCCCATCTTCAAGCCAGCAAATATGTGTCCAGTCCGTTCATCCCCTTTGTATTTGCAGTCTCTCTCACTTCACATTCTGCCACCAGACAGGGAAAGTCTGCTTTTAAGAGCTCTTGTGATTCCTTTGGGCCCACCCAGATAATCCAGGACACTGTCCCCACTTGTGGACAGCTGAGCCATGTAAGATAACACAGTCATGGGAGTGATCTCTCATTATATTCACAGCTTCCAGGGATTAAGATGGGACATTTTTGGGGGAAGCCCATTTAGAAATTTGTCTGCCACAGTGGGCATGATACTGTCTACCATGGAAAGTAAGATCAGTTAAACCGGAAATGCAGTGGACACGGTCAACATTAATGCTCTTGTGCTTCAGCGTTAACCTGTGGGAGATGGCAGAGTTCTTGCTGAAACAGGATGTGGTCAATGCCATCAACCTGGATGGAGGGGGCTCCGCCACCTTCGTGCTCAACGGGACCTTGGCCAGTTACCCATCAGATCACTGGTAAGCATGCCAGAGCCCCCTTCTTGAGGTCTAAATCCAGGCCTGTCCTCACCTGTCTCACTCAACAAATATTGAGCACCTACTATGTGCCAGGCCCTGAGGATTCAGCCGTGAGCAGGAGAGCCAAGATCCCTGCCTCTCAGTGCTTACAGGAAGAGAGTTGAATCATGCATGCTGTACCAGTACCACCCACACCAAGAAAAGGGGATTGATAGGTCAGGAAAGACCTCTCTGAGCATAATGGAACCTGAGCTGAGATCTGAAGGTTGAGAAGGTGGCGAGGCAGGGCCAGGAGAACCTTCTGGGCAGTGAGAACAGCATATGTAAAGACCCTGGGGTGAGAAGAACCTGTAAAAGGCTGAGGAAGGGGCAATGGAGAGAGAGGCAGCCCTCGGGGGCTATAATAGGGGATAGGAGGGGTCCGCTGGGGATGGTCAGTGCCTTCACACACCGTGTCCCTCTCCCCCCCCCCGCCCCCCGCAGCCAGGACAACATGTGGCGCTGCCCACGCCGCGTGTCTACTGTGGTATGTGTGCACGAGCCCCGCTGCCAGCCGCCTGATTGCAGTGGCCACGGGACCTGCGTGGAGGGGCGCTGCCAGTGCACGGGGCGCTTCTGGCAGGGCGCGGCCTGCAACAAGCTGGACTGTGGCCCCTCCAACTGCAGCCAGCACGGGCTTTGCACAGAGAGTGAGTGGGGTC